ACTGTTTGCCACTAAAGTGAAGAATTTAGTATCACTCATATCTTTGTCCCTCTCCTTCCCTTGGCAAGTTTTGGTAAGTAAAGTATTTTCATAGGTGGAAGTATGTTCTTTTTATATTCTCTTGAACCCACAATTTCTGGGTCATTTTGCTTTAGCTCTGTGCTTTACTGAATCCATAACCAGTCTTAGAGTCATGGCTTCAATATTTTGGAGCTTTTCTGGTTGTGTCATCCCTTGATTGTTTATATTTTCTTTTATTTTACTATTCTTTAAAGTGTATTTCTTTATAAGCGAGAGTATATAAGTGGAAGTTGGAGAGGAGCAGACAGGGAGAGAGAGAGAGAGACAGAGAGAGAGACAGAGACAGAGAGAGAATCCCAAGCAGGCTCCAATCTGTCAGCACAGAGCCCAACAGGGGACTCAAACTCATGAACCATGAGATCCTGACCTGAGCCAAAATCAATAGTCAGATGCTCCACGCACTAAGCCTCCCAGGCACCCCTTGATTGCTTATGTTTTATTAAATAATATTTTCCAGAAGATATCAGAAATAGAGTGATTTTATAATTTGTTGATTAAATGGGGACACCTTAGAGAATACAAGAAGGAGCTTTTAACACTTAGTCAAAACAACAGGTATCATACTGTTTTAGGTGAAGTAGAACCTAAGATCACCATAAAGCCAGAGGTGGCTTATTTCCTAAGTTCTTGCTTCAATTCAGCACTTTTTGGGGAGGTATTTAATTGGTGCCAAATGGCTCCTTACACAAAGGAGCATCTATTTGGGGGTAAAAAAAAAGTTGGCTCTGACTGAAGATCCAACAGCTCACTTCCTGGGATTAACGGATAGGTTTTAGGGAGTCCAGCAATCATTCAAAATCATATCCATAAGTCTGCATACATGTGCGTTTTCTGGAAAGATGACCATAAAAGTCAGATATTACTAATTTCTATTGCCCATCAAATATTACTAATTTCAATTTCATCACAAATCTACAAACAGCTTTATTGCTGGATTCTTTTCCCCTAAATATCCTAGAAGTAATAAATATGACACAACTGTGATTTCATGTTATTACTACTTAATTGTCATTATGGGATTAATATAAGAAGTTCCCAGATGTAGAGTGTTTCTGGTCTTTAGTAAACCTCCTAGTAATGACTTTGATTTTACTTTTCAGTATCTCTTTCATTAAGATTCGTGTAATAATACTATGTTAGGAATGTTTTTCCCCTTCAACCAGTTGTTATGCCCCCTTCTATGAGCTACATGGCTTATACACTTACCAGTGTATGTATCTGAGGTTTCCTTTCAGCCTGAGCTGTCAGGAAGGTCATGGAGAGCTGTCTGAAGCTACTGAAGTAGGTATCCTCTTTTAGGATCCCAGGAACTATTTCTATTCTTCTTGTATCAATATCTTGCTTAAAACCCAAACACTCACTCCTTTGTGGTCCTTATTCTGTTTCCATTACTTAGATGGTGGTATTACAGCTATTTTTATTTTATTTTATTTTATTATTTTATTTTCCATTCCATTCCATTCCAGTATATTTAACGTACAGTGTTTAGTAGTAACAATATAGTGATTCAACACTTCTGTACATCACCCAGTGATCATCACAAGTGCCCTCCTTAATCCCCATCATCTATTTCCCCCAGCCCCCCCACCTCCCCTTTGGTAACCATCAGAGTTACCAGTTAAGAGTCTATTTCAGGGGGACCTGTGTGACTCAGTCAGTTAAGTGTCGACTTTGGCTCAGGTGGTGACCTCACAGTTTGTGAGTTTGAGCCCCACATCAGGCTCTGTGCTCAGACAGCTCACAGCCTGGGGCCTGGTTCAAATTCTGTGTCTCTCTCTCCCTCTCATCCCCTCCCTGACTCATATGCTATCTCTCAGAAATACATAAAAACATTTTTGTAAAAAGAGTCTGTTTCTTGGCTTGCTTCTCTATCTTTTTTCCTCTTACTCTTTTGGTTTGTTTCTTAAATTCCACATATGAGTGAAATCACATGGTATTTGTCTCTCTCTGACTGACTTATTACACTCTCTACCTCCATCCATGTTGTTGAAAATGGCAAGATCTTGTCCTTTTTTATGGCTGAATAATACTCCATTGTATCTATATATACCATATCTTTATCAATTTATCTATTGATGAATGCTTGGACTGCTTCCATAATTTGGCTATCGTATATAATGCTGCTCTAAACATAGAGGTGCATGTGTCTCTTTGAATTAGTGTTTCTGTCTTTTGGAGGTAAATACCCAGCAGTGAGATTCCTGGATCACATGGTAGTTCTATTTTTAACTTTTTTGCGGCACCTCCATACTGTTTTCCACAGCGGCTGTACCAGTTTGCATTCCCACCGGCAGTGCAAGAAGGTTCTCCTTTCTCCACATCCTTGCCAACCCTTGTTGTGACAGCTCTTTATTTTAAATTGTAAAAGCGAGTAGATGGATGACCGGTCACCTACATGGACTAGGAGAAAAGTTGTTAAATGTCCGCTTTCCTTTGCCTTGCATAGTCCTGGCCTGGAAGATTGAACATGAAGTGTTCCCTACAGAGAAAAGACATTAACAAAAAGGAGGAAAAAAATGCGTGGAAAATAAAATGATAATGCCGGTAGTGGCCAGCAAAATGATTGGAAACATATGAAAGTTAGCGGATTCAAGTTAAAAGAATACACACATCTGAAAGCTTCCCCTGAAGTATTCAAGCACCTCTGTCCGTACACAGCCTGGGGTAGACTTTCCCAGGAAAGTAGGAAGCCAAAGCAAAATTGTGGTGAGCTCTAACAGCCTTCAGGGAGGGGGGCATTTAGGTGACCCTAAAAGAGTTCACACCTGAAAGAGCACTTAAGTAGATTCAGAGATGAAGTTCTCAAAAAATCTTTTACCTTGATGTTAAAAAAGTAACGCCTCACCCCCAAAATATCTGAAATGTGGACAGAAAAAACTGTTGATCTAACCCTTTGCTCTGCGGAAACTTAAGACTTATCGGCTTCCTCTTTGCCTTCCTTTGATTACAGTTTCCCGGAATCCGTGGCCCTGGCAAGGTCCCAGGTATAGATAGCTCTGCACACAGGGCACGCCTCCCTGCCTGCCCTGCCTCCTCTCTCTGCTGTGTCCTATCACGTTAGCTCCTTAGCCAAGAAGGGCATTCTGCCCTTCCTGCAGGGCCGAGGGCCTCTCCTCCCTGTTTTTCCTCTTCCCTGTTTTCCCTCTCCACCTTCCCCACACCCACATCTATCTCAAAACACCAGAGAAAGAGGCTGAAGAGCAAACCCGTGGCCGTGGCTATGGCCATGAAGGCAAGATAGAGACGGTTCAGCCTTCTTTGCAAGTTTCAGACTGACAATAGTGAAATTAATGAAAAATAAAAAAGGTTCTCTTATCTCCGGTCCTCGCCCCGGGGGATGCATTTTTCTCTTCAGCTGTGTCTGGGTTGCTTTTGCTTCCCCAGAGCAGGCTTAGGAGTAAAATGTTTAAAACCCAAGAATATGGAGTGCATTGCAGGTTCAAATGCAGTTCAACCACAAATATAGAGCATGGAGCAAGCTTTGGAAAATATAATATAGAACATCTTAGCCCTTTTATGGTATTAATTTTCTCCCACCTCCCTTTAAGTTATTTTGTGCGTGTCTTCTGGCTTCCGCATCTGCCTGCTTTCTTTTCCTTTTTCCTTCCAAAAGAAACCTTCTGACAACGTGACATGAATGTCTTCATTAATGACCCGTGCCATTTATTTTGCTTATATGCTTGGTTAAATACTGAGTTTGGCTCATACGTCCCATATGGAATATTAATATTCATTATTCTCAAAGTAAAGAGACGAACTTCTCATTTTAAACTACAAAAGCTGTATTTAATTAACCTTCAAGTAAATGAACATATGAAAAACAGTAAGGAACTTTTGGGTATTTGGAAAATCATTGCTTCTGCTTTATCCTTTCTCTTAGGTCTCGAATTCCTCAAATATTTTTAAAGTCACTTTGCAGGCCTTAGACCCTGTCACATGACTAATAAAAAAGAAGGCTAAAAACTAGTTAGCCATCTTCTGATGAAGGTAATGTATTGGCATAATTCAGTGTAGAGCTAATAGGAGAAAAATATTCTACCTCAAATAATGTGATTTTAAAAAATTACACTTCTGGGGCACCTGGGTGGCTCAGTCGGTTAAGCATCTGACTTCGGCTCACGTCATGATCTCACGGTTGTGAGTTCAAGCCCCAGCGTTGGGCTCTGTGCTGACAGCTCAGAGTCTGGAGACTGCTTTGCATTCAGTGTCTCCCTCTGTCTCTGCCCCTCCCCTGTCCATGCTCTGTCTCTCTCTCTAAAAATAAGCATTAAAAAATTAAAAGTAAATAGAAACAAACAAACAAATAATTACACTTCTTTAATTATTAAAGTAGAGTCGACAGACAATGTTATATTCGTTTCAGGTGTACAACACAGTGATCTGACAGTTCTGGGTCTCCTCAGTGCTCACGCCGATAAGTGTAGTTACCGTCTGCCACAACGCAACATGCTTACAGTATTACTAACTATATTCCCTATCTGCACTTTTCACTTCCATGACTTATTTATTGTATAACTGGAAGTTTGTGCCTCTTAATCCCCTGTACCTTATTTTGCCCATCCCCCACTGCCTCCCCTCTACCAAACAACGTGCTTGTTTTGAAAAACATCTATCAGGAGTGACTCCATTGTCCATTTTGCTTGGTGGGTACTAAAGGCCTCACTCCTCCAGAATCTGTAACACTGGCTCAGATATGCAGAAACCAGAAATGTGTTTCCTTCTTATTTTGATTTTGCTCTATCTCTTTACACTACAGGTATAACCCTCAATAGCCTGAGTGAAAAGCTGGCTGATTCTAAAATACACACACATTCTATCCTAATTTATTACCCTGATTTATTCATTTTTACTGTGATTATTCCTTTGGGGAAAGGCAACCACACACCAACTCAATTTGTTTCCGCTTTTATGCCACCTAGGGCTACTTATGAACGTATTGGAAACGGTCATTTCATTCCACTGAAATTTCTTGCAGCTCAGCTTAACCGTGTCTTTCCATTATTTGGTGAGTATTCTTCCCTAATTGAATGAGTATCACATTCTTTGCAGTGCCCAGAGAATTCCAGATTTTTTTTTTTTTGCAAAAAATTTCAGTAATTTTTGCTGTTGTGTTTCCCAGAATCTGAATCCCTTCATTCTCTGAAAATGATTTGCCTCACACTTAGAAGACTAAATTCATCTTATGGGAGGTTTGCTTATGTTTCTCTTTTTTTAAAAACTTATGTATTTTGAGAGAGAGAGAGAGAGAGAAAGGGAGGGGTAGAGAAAGGAAGAGAGAGAGAGAGAATCCCAGGCAGGCTCTGAGCTGTGAGCACAGAGCCCAACACAGGGCTCAAACCCACGAATCGTGAGATCATGACCTGAGCTGCAATCAGGAGTCTGATGCTTAACCAACTGAGTCACCCAGGTGCCCCTTGTGCCTTTCTTCTTGACGGCCCATCTCTATATCGTCTTCTCTCCCTGTCCTCAGAGGCTAACATCTCCATCACCTCCCAGATCCCACCTTCTCCTGCTTTGTCTGAGAACCCTGTTCTCATATTTTTCCTCTTCTCTTAGTCCTCACCGGCTCTCTCTGCCTGAGACACTCCTACCCCTAAAACAACAACAAAACACTCCGTCAACTCTACTCATCTCTCACATTTCCTTTCTGCAAACTTTCTGAATGTCTGTTTCTGTTTTCCTTGACCTAATCTTTAACTTGTAATAGTTTAGTTTTTATTCTTATCCCTCCATTGAAACTAAACTCCCAAAAGTCACTGGCATAAATCTAGCGACCTTCCTCAACCCCCCTTCCACCCCGCCCATTACTCATGGTGGCATTGGACAGAGCTGAGGATGCCACCTTTCTAGAAACCACAAGTGTTTGCAGAATTCTGAATGGACTCTTTGGTTTCCATGACCTGTTTCTTTAACTGCAAAATTGAAATCTTTTTTGGCTGTGATTTCCCATGCCCAGTCTCTTTGCTGTAGATATTCCCTCAAGGCTTTGCCTCCATGTATTCTCTGTATACTCCTTTCCTAGAGTTTTCATGGTTTTAAACATCTCTGTGTGCATAGCTCTGAAAACCATTAATTCTGAATGACAGGTCTCTCTTTCCTGTTTTGGCTGGACTTACATTTAAATTCTACTAGTATATCAAATGCAACAGGTCCTGAACAGAAGCCATTTTTTCTTCTCCCCCAACCTGCCTTTCCAGGTTTCCCACTTTCTGCAAGTGACATCACCACTGATATTCTCTTGGATCCATGATTTCCTACCCCCAGGGCCATGGATACTCAAAGGTATATGCTGACAAGATCACCCTTTGAGATACATTATTACCTGACTAATCTTGAAGTGCAATTATAGGGCATTCCCCTGCTTAACAGCTTCATTTACAAAACGAAACCCAGATCTTAGCATGGTATTCATCGTTCTTCCTAGCATGTCTGCAGCCAAACTATCTGATTTTAGTTCAAGGTTACACTGAACACCAGACAACTATTTGTTATTATTAATATAAATATTTTATATAGTTGCTGTTCTCTGTACTCGCCTTCAGGTTCCTCACCCCAAGGCTTTGCTCATGCTGTTTCCCATCTCCAAAATCTTCTTGTGATCCAAATTCTACCCATTCTTCCAATGCTACTTCCTTCAGGCTTTCCCTGATTTTCTCAACTGGAAGAAAGACTTCCAATTTCTGCACTTCGTTTGCGTGTTACTGATATAGCCATACTAGTTTTCTTTTGCTTAGTGTTTACATGAAACTTCTTCCCCATCCTTTTGCTTGTCATCCGTTTGTGTCTTTATTCATAAAATGTGTTTCTTGTAAACAACATAGAGTTGGTTTTTGTCTATAGTTTTTTGTTTGTTTTTAATGTTTATTATTTATTTTTGAGAGAGATAGAGAGACAGAGTGCAAGCAAGGGAGGGGTAGAGAGAGAGGGAGACACAGAATCTGAAGCAGGCTCCAGGCTCTGAGCCGTCAGAACAGAAATCAACACACGGCTTGAACCCATGAAATGTGAGATCATGACCTGGACCAAAGTTGGATGCTTAACTGACTGAGCCACCCAGGTGCCCCATCTATGTTTTTTTTTTTTTTTTTTTTTAATCTAGTTTGTCAATCCTTGCCTTTTAATTATGTTCTTTAGTCCATTTATATTTGCTGCAGTTATTGATATGTTTGAATTTAAGTCTATCACCTTGGTGTTTTAATTCTATTTGTTCCTCCTACCCTTTTTCCTGTTTGTTGGTTGCTTGATTGGTCTTCTATTCCTCCTTTGCTCTTTTTCTTTGGCAAGTGGTTAACTTACCATTTTTAAAAAATATTCTGTCTCCTCTGTTGAATTTTTCATTCAGCCTCTTTGTCTTTGCACTTCGTGACGACTGTAGAGAATAAAATCTGTATCTTTAGTATACTATATTCTATGTTTAAAAATTAATAAAAATCTAAGAATTCTATGACAATCTATTTCCAATGTTTAGTCCTTGCTTTAGTTAAGTTCAAGGCACCATAGTCTTTAAATTCCCCCAGTGGTAAGCTACTCCTGTTTTGTACTTAATATAAAGCCTGGAGCCAAAGGCTCTTCCCTGTTCACTTGCTACACCCTTAGATGGCTGTGGATCCTTCCTGCTTGCAACACACAGGGAGTCCTTCTTACTGCTCCCTTTCTCCTTAGTACCCATACCTCCATCAGCAATAGACTCTTCTTATGGCCCAGTGCAAGGCCAAATTCTCCAGCTCTACCTTCAGATTCAGGCAGGCCCTGCATTCTTTTTTTTTTTTTTTTTAAATTTAAATAATTTATTTAACTTACTTAAATGTTAATAAAATTCTCTTAAATAATTATAATTATATAAAATGAGTTCTTACTAAAATAATAA